AGACCAATGCGAGATGCAAAAAAACAAACTTCTTATTGGCTCTCCTGTTCCTGTTGGCTACCTTGCGTCCCAAGCTTCCGGCTAGCGCCAGCGGCGCGAAGTGTCCATCCCATGGATCCCGCCCCGTTCCCGCTCAGGGGCCTTCCATGATGCTCTTCGCAGATGGGTGCTTCTTGCCTGGGCCATGCCGCCGTACTTCAACTTTAAAAGGGGCTACTAACCAGTGAACCGCACTCGCACCGGCGCTCCACGAGCGGGTTCGGGCTCGGGCTCAGCTTTCGGCCATTTGGCTTTTCGCGTTTCGCATCTCCCTGCATCCTGCATGCGGGGAGTCCTAGAGGAGATCTGCTGCATGTTCTAGAAATCTTGTGGGATCTGTTCTGCAACGGAGCACGCATGCTTTCTTTTTCGGGCGAAAGTGAGTGCTAATCCATTTATCCAAATTATCAACCCTTATCTTGCCGCTTTTCACATCAGCTAGGCCCCTGAAGATCAACGAGGGCACGAGAGACATTGGCTGGCACCGTACTCACTTTCATGTGTTTCCCAAAATAATCGACTTTGGCATTTTGGTTATGCGCCACCAAGGCACGAACACCAGCGTCGACGCCAGCGCCAGCGCCAACGCCGACGCCAACGACGTTGGAGCTAGGAACCCAGCCGCCCTCGGCGCCAGAGACAGAGCCAGAGCCAACTATTGATGTTGCAGGTCCGTCATCAAGCCAAGGGGGCTCCACAGCACCAACCCATGCAGCAACCGCCAACTCTGTCAGGTCTCTTCCTTAGCAAACCAAACCCCCGCCTTGAATGGACAGCTCCCGCGTCGGCGCGTTAACCGCCTAAGCTTCGACAGGCAACGTTGGGCATCATTCGCCCAGTGCGACACTCATGCTCTCCGTCATCAAACAAATCCTGACTGCGCCCCCGAAGCCTATCGAAAGGAGATGGGGAGCCCGGTGTTCGCTGAGTATCAAGGTCCGCGTATCTCACATCTTCAAACAGACCGAGCCGGACATACAGCGTGAATCCGACGATGCCAGTGTTACCGGGTTCGCTTTAGAGCTTACCTTTCAGCTAGGCACACTAGGTAGGTTACGGGGGTTTTGGCTGATCGGATCTGTTTGTGCAATTGCGTGTCCTACTTCTGAGAACGAGAACGAATGTCAGAGTCAGACTCAGAATGGGCAACGAAGTCTCTGTCAGCGCTGGCTCAATTTGATCCGAACATTTGTAGGACCCCTACTATCGGTCCTAACTTGACGCATAGTTTACGGTATGGGCAGTATTATGCAACCACGTTCCTGGCACACTTATAATCGCTGCGAGGTTGGAATTGCTTTTACTTCGGCAAGTCTCTGACTGGCTTCTGTGTAAAGCGAATTCGGCTTCCAGGCTATTGAGTGGTGTTTCTCACGATTTCGGTCCACATTACGTTCCCCGATAATCGTTGAATCGATTCCCGGCCTGTCACTTTGCGGGCATAGCCAAGGGAACCTGTTGCGTCAAAGCAATTAGCCGCAACTAAGCTTACTGCATGTAGGCGAACCATACCGGTGTCATACTTGATCGCTTTACTCACAGTTAACTATCCGAAGATTGTCTCTTGATCCTCGCGGGGCGCTTGAAAAGTGAGAGTATAGCTGAGGATCGAGAACTGCCAGAACTAGAGCAGGCTGGAAGATCTTGCCGAAAGCTTACATGAGTGGCTTGCCGTGTGAGCCTACCTACTTACTCTATTTGCACTCCTTGTCAAGTTCATCGACCTTATCTTGTCCGTCCATTGGTCGCGTTAACAGACCGGCTTTAGGAGGGATCTTGCGAACAATTGCGTCCACTCGGTGCCGAGCTGTGATTTGAGCTGATGCCAACCAAGTCCCGCCCACGAAGCCGGTTCCCTTCTTTATGGCTGCTAGGGGGCCAGGAAGAAACCCTCACCTGTTGATTGAGGTCTTCGCATGAACACATGGCCATCTACTTTCAACGTTGAAGATATCGAGCCTTTCCCCCACGTCGTATATTGCAGAGGTTTATTTGCTCGTTTCCAGCTCAAACGTGTCCCCAAATTGTGTTCCAGTGCGCGCTGCTATTAACCGTGATCAGATCTTCAGGCCAAAAAAACGAGACTACACACGCCGAATCGGTGCTGGTGCCGCGCAACATGGACCGAAAATATGTCCAGAGTCTACAACGCATGTCTCTATGCAGAAGAAACCATATCCGAAAACCAAGGACTTGTATACTTGCGTATACCATAAAGAGGGCAAAGAGACGAAAAGTCTTGAAGCCGGTGTGATGGTCCATTCAAGCGCCACAGTGATACAGAGATCCAACAGAGCCTTGTCGAACGCAAATCGTGCCGAACATCGGAGACAAACTTCTCTCCCCCAAACCCATACAAGTCAAAAACCGAATCAGGCAAAGGGACGCTGCAGTGAGATGGATCACTCAAGGACAAGGAGGTACACGTAATTTTGGATTACAGCCATACCGTCTTTTTTTTTCTTCTCTATCGCCTGTTTCGTTCTTGCTTCAGAAAAGAGTGGACGGGAGTGATGGGCTACAGCCCTGCTGCCGGAGCGAGAAAAAAAATGCATCCGCCAAGGGATCTAGAGATTCAAGACAAGAGATGTAGGCGCGCGCGATCGTTTCCTTTTTCTCCTCCACCGACGCCAACGACGCAAAACAGTGAAACTCGATCTTGGGGGATATTGAAAAGCCCGGCTTGGAAAATGCCAAGCCGTACAACCCGATCTCGACATCCGGCGCCACACCCGTGCTACTCTCATCTACCATCAACCACGATGCCCGCAATATCATGAGCGGGGTATCAATCGTAGCTCCAATTCCTAGGATACAGCCTTTGATGAGCTCAAGGAGAACCAGAACGGGTTCACATCACTTCTGCATGCTCCCGATAATCTCCCTCTGCGCCGCGCGGTCCCTACCAGCCTCGCTAAGGCTGCCCACGCTCCGCAGGTCGCCGACGACGTCCTTGGCCTTGCCAAAGTAGACCTCCTGCAGCAGGTTACGCATCTTGAGCTCCATGTCCTCGACGAGCCGTCCCACGTTGGCAATGTGGCTCTCGTCGCCGTCGACGGGGAGCTCCTGCTCAACCTGCCGCGTCATGTTGCCGCTGAGGTCCATGTCGCCCAGGGCGTTGGTCGAGGTGGAGAGCGAGAGGATGACGGTCGAGGTGAGCTTGTACTGCGTCGTGCGGCCGCGCTCAATGGCTTCGAAGACGTGGATCGAGTCCCATACGCCCTCTGCGCTTCCGCCGGGGGTCGCGGCTGTGGTTGTGAGGTGTCTTGTCAGCTTAAAAAAATATATATATAAAAAAAGATCCAATTCCTGATCACAGGCAGAAACGCACATTTCTTCAAGAGAACCACGCCGGCGAATCCATCGTCCAGGTTCCAAAAGTATACGCTGCTCACACCACCCTCGTAGTACAGATCTCGGTACACGTCAAACGCCTCATTGGCCTTGACCTCCATCTTGCGGACCCTCTCGCTCGGGATCGCGCCTTCGCCGGCGCCCTCGCTACCGCCGGCACCGACGCCGCCAACGCCGCCCTCGTCCAGAGGCGGGTCGAACTGGTTGCTCCATGGGGAGCGGTAGCTGTCGCCGTCGCGGTTGTAGTCGCAGAGGAGGTAGTCGCGGCCCGTCTGCTTGCAGCGCTTAACGGTCAAGGGTTGATCGACGGACGAGAGAAGGTCCTCCGTCAGATCCGGTGCGAGTGAAATGATTGCATTCAGGTGGTCGGTCGTGTGTTTCGGGTTCAGGCGGCGGAGGAGGTCGCTAGACGGGGAGAACACGCGGCAGAGGTTAGAGATGATTTGCTTTGATGCATGACGTTGAGGGGGTCAGGGCCGCTGCGATCTTACAGAGCCGAGTCGAAGGGGTCGACGGAGGCCATGATGGGCTCTTTGTATGTGTGTCTATCGCTGGAAGAGGTTGTCTTTGAGCTTCTTCGGAGTCGTTGGCGATGAAAGGGTGGCGGTGTCGATTGGACTTGGATGGTCTTTGAGGTTGGGGTGTTAGCGGAAGGTCTGGCGGGGTAGACGGTCCTTAGCCCCTGGGTGTACTTCCCCAGGGCCCCACAGCCAGGGAGTTCTGGGCTGCACCTACCACCTCGGGCATGTTGAAGAGGCACGGAGCTACAAAAGGCACGTCATTGTTTGAGGTACCTCACACACCTACCTCTTCACCTAGCTGGACAAAGGGAGTGAGTTCTTGGAGCCATTGCTACCTCTCGAGTCAGCACAGCTCTCCACTGCATCTGGAGCTCTTGGAGCTCTCGGTGTTGAACGGCAATAATCACAGTGAGCCACCACATGAGACGTCTCTGGTCAATCGAGCAAGTCTCATCAATCATGACAATGGCTGATGCAGAGTAAAAGAGGATAAGGTAAACATTTGACCACAAACCATGTAAGCTCTAGGAAACTGCTCGCAAGACTCTGGTCTCCAAATTGGCCGCTCTGCTGGCCTTGTTCGCCTTTTGCGTCCCCTTTTGTTGGCGTCCTTCTGTCTGTCTCTTGAGAATACACCAAGACCAATTCCTTATGCCAACCTCACTCAGTTGCGAGATGAATCCCCCTCCCTTCGCCAACGCCTCGCGCGAAAAATAAAACTGCACTCCAGCCACACCCGAATAACCAGTCTTCTTCCTCGAGACTCGCCTTCAGCTGTCCAGGTCTCGCCCCGCCTGCCCAGACCTGTCCTCCCTCATCCCCTGCAACATGTCTCTTGGCATGTATTCCTCTCCTTATACTTGTCTTCAGGGTCGGTTTACGAACCCCAATCATATTGGAAATCGTCATAAGCAAAACAGCAGCACTTCCTAAGTCACCGCTCCGGTGTGTTGAATAAAGTGCCTGCTGGAATAAGTACATCGAGAAGTGAAGCTCGGCACCCCATCGTCGCGTTGGCGGTTTGTGAAATGACCCCTGATTCAAGAGATCGATCGGTAATTTGGCAGTCACATAAAGGCCGATTATTTAGCTGATTCCCACTCCGCAAACGACGCAGAGCAGCGGCTCAGTCCACACCTTCTGGCCTTCAGTGACGTTCTCTCGAAGATCCCTGATTTCAATCGTCGATGGGGTCATGTCCATCAAGATCCTCGCCTCGAACAAGCCCTCCCACGGCTTTGCGTCGGCGGAAGACGGCTTCTTCTTGAAGGATCTCACCTTGCGTGACGACGCCGCTGCCGACACCTCGGGTACGGTTGGTGTGGCAGGAGTTGTAGGTGGTTGCGAAACGTGCTCATCGACAACGGCAGGCGTTCCCTCGGTTACTGACTGCCCATTGATCTCTTCTAGCGCATCGCTCGGCTTGGCATCGATTGTTTGCTTCACGTCGGCACCGCTCTCGGTAGGGCTGAGGGGTTCGTTTACACCGTCATCGAGCGGCTTTTCTTCCTTGACCTTGTCGCTCTCAGCGACCGACGCTGTTCCGTCTGTCGGGGGTTTCGCGGTGAAGTGGGGCTTGTCCTTGCCAAGTCGCTCGTATGTTCGCATCAGGGTTTCCTCTCGAAGACAGTGTTCGTGTAGCCACTTTCCGCATTCCTTGTTGGAGCACCCGACGAGGGTCTTATCCGGGTTGGCGGGCTGTCGGCATTTGCAGGTGCGTTCAACTGACTGCATGACGGGTTAGCGACAATCGCCTGCTCTAGGCTTCGGGGGTATTTATGCATACCGAGAGCTGCTGGGTGCGACAGTCAAAGGCCTGACGCCAATAGAGGGCCTCCTGAATCTCGTCGTCGTTCTCTTCAATCCATTGCTTGACGGTGGCGGGCAATGTCACACTAACGACGTTGATGATGTCCACTGCTTCGCGTCAGTACTGAGACCACTGTCTAGAGAAGCATGAAACCTACTGTGGTTGGAAGCAATCAGCTCGTTGTGGCCGTGGTACGGCTGACGACCTCCCGTGTATCTCTTTCCTTCCATCGTGCCCTCCGGCAGCTCCTCCGGCCAGTACATCCAGTATATGCGCGCATAGACGTGGTGTTCATCACTAGCGCGGATCTCCAGAATGCGCGCTACCCAGTCGTCTTCGGACTTGGACCGCTTCAGGACCTTCTCAGGCTCGTTGGCATCTGTCGAGCCTTCCGCTGCGGCCTTTTGGCGTTGGACTGTCTGGTCGTTTGCGACGTAGATAAAGCCCTCACTGAAATACTTCGTCCCGTTTACTACCGCCCGTCACTGTTAGTGCAAGGCCATCGCAGATGGACTATCGCTGAGCAACTTACGGACGAAGCTATTGTATCGTGTCATCTCCAACCACTTCTTCTGCGGATGCACATGGTATTCCAAGTCCAGAACATCGTTAGCGCTCTTGCCGTTGAAGTCGCCGGAAGGGGAGAAGGGAGAGAGTTGCTTGGAGCTCTTCTTCCCATCTTCCTCTTCTTGCTCTGGTTTCCTCCTCTTCTTGGATTTCTTCTGTGCCTTGATGTCGGGTTCGGCGTAGGTGATGCTGAAGGGGCATTCGGCCTTGTTTTCCTCGACCTCGGCGCGAGGGCGCTTGCGCGAGGTGGACATAATTGGTGTAGTAGGAGGTTCGGAGTCGCAAACGCGAATGCGGTGAAGTTATCGCAGGTATGAGAGTGATCGGAGTGATGCGATCTCGATTGACGGTGTCCGAGACGAATGACGTTGGTGCAAAGAGCTCGCTGGGATGTCGCGACCGAAGGGAAGGAGCACGGGGTGGCTGGAAGACGAATGGGTCGCCCAAAGGACCGGGGGGAGGTAGTATGAAGCTGTATGGCAAGCGCGTGGTCCTAGATGGGCGCTCTTTGTTGACTTTGTCAAGTGTGCAAATACTCTGGCAAGCCTGAAGATGGTCCAGGCCGAATATCGACGACCAATGATGGCCACGATGCGCAAAATTGGGAAAATCGCGGGTTGAGGATCTGGCAATTCCGGGACGAGGAGCGGAGCGCGTTCTCGCTACCCAGCGAAAAAAAGGTGGCGCAGGATGACTATTCTGCTGGGTCACGTGAGCGCGGCGTTCCTCCGACCAAACGTCCACTGCCACCTAGAGGACGGACCAGCAACCACGATGCGGGCAGCAGGTGTGCGGCGTGCGGCGTGCGGCGTGCCACAGATGGACCAGGCGTGTCACGTAAGCACAGCAGACAACAAGAGCTAGAACCATCCGCGCCTACCAAAATCCTGGTCTGCCTCCAAGGTTCCCACAACAAGCGCTGACACTTATTTCTCCATTACCTGATTGGCTACGTACCGGTCTCGTCGCTTTACCATGACCTCTTACACCTGTAGTCTTCGTGTCTTATGCCATATGCCGTTCTTCTGATATAAATGAGCTGGATGATTGGTTTCAAAAGGATATCAGTTTCATCATCATCATTCAAATCAATAGTCAATTGCTTTTCCCCAGTATTCTGGCGCAAATATGAACAGAAGAGTGTGGGGATCAAAGAGCAACAAAGAAGATAGGGGATACGACGGAGGCGGCGAGCATGTTGGGGGCGATAGAGACGACAACAGAAACAACGACAAAGTCGACTGTTCATTACTCGGCACTTTTGAGTAAAAATACAATATCGCTAACTTGATTTACCTACGCCGTTGCTATGCAGATATGTTCGGTAATGGGGGCTCAGTTCCCCCTGGTCCGGTTATGCTCGTGTTCGAGTTCTTCCTCCTCATCGTCATAGGCACTGAGAATCGGACGATCGTCGCTGTCCTCTGTCTCGCTGCCGGTTTCAGCCTGTAGACTCTTGAATCCCTCAATAGTCTCTGCGAGTTTCTGGCCCTCCCGCTTGCCACGCTCCACGTTCACGCTCCAGATGAGAGGCGCCGGAAGCCCAACCAATGCCGCCAAGAACCAAAACGCCGGCCGGATATCACCAGATTGATCAATGATGGCTCCGACAATCGCAGGCCCAAAAACACTCGAACCTTTGTCGGATGCAGCGTATAGAGCGTAAAAGGCAGCTTCGCTTCCCTCGGGGATCAACTCGCCGTACAGCGATCTGCAATATGAACTCAAGCCTCCCAACACCAGTCCGTACACGGCAGCTAGGGGATACATTTCCCACGGTTGCTGCAGTCCGATCACGCCCCATCTCTGCACAATCGGCAAATATCCGAGAAGTCCGTAGATCGGAATGAGCTCGAAGAGACCGATACAGACAAGGATTGTCTGATGTGGCTTCAAGTGGAACTTGCGTGAGATGAAAGCCCAGCTGAAGGCACCGATAACACCAGCTATAGTGGAGATCACATTGATCATACCCAAAGCCCAAGGCTTCATGTGGAGTTGCGTTTTGGCGAACAATATGGCCGTGGAAGATGTAGTCGCAATCGCATCACTGACCAAAAACCATGCGCATAGAAACAGAACGATGTCTCGTAGGCGACGAGCAAGCCGGACAGTGTTGAATAACGATTTCCAGGCCATAGCCACATAAGTTGGCCAAGCTCGGATTCCTTTGCCCGACATGATAGGCATTGGTGGACCTGGCCGAGGGCGGAGCCACATGGCAGCAGGGATCGTGAAGACTGCCTGTAAGATGGTCAGTAACGGTGGATAATGCGCCCAGGCGACGGGGATGAGATGGAGAGAGAGAGCCCGTCACATACCCACCAAAGACCGCAAAAAGACAATGCAACCCTTTGCGACCAGGTAGTGTTTTTCAGTGCAATCACTATGGCAATGGCGACACACTGTACGAATAGGCCGGCAATGTAGCCAATGCCAATGCCCTTGGCGGAAATCTGAGTGGACAGCTGGAGCTCGACGGAGGTGAGCTCCTCGTGAGTAGCTTTCCGAACCAACGGGTAGCCTCCGTTTCCGTTTCCATGCCCACCGAGTAAGGGCGAATGTTGGTCCTCAACCTCGGCACTGGCGGGATCTTCGTCAACGTGGGAACCATCGAGCGGTCGCGATTCCAGGTCCGAATGTCCCAAGTCGGGAGTGTGAACAGTCTCAGAAGCAATCACTTCCGGATGATGCCGGACCAAGAGCGGCAGGAATGAGTTGAGGAGCACGAATGAGGCGCCAAAACATGTGTTCGAAACGATAGCCAGCAGAGCACCCAAGAGATAGGTGGTTTTGTTGACAAAGATATAGGCCATGACGGAGAAACTTCCAACCCAGGCGAAGGTGAGCAAAAGCTTCTTTCTCGAGTTGCCGTGATCTGCGGCACTGCTGACGCTCACGACAAGGAGAACCTGCAGCAGGACGCTTATGGAGAAGGTGTACATGGCGAAACTCGCCGTGTTGATCTCGATACCCAAAGGATACACGACGCATTGTCCATCAGTTTTGTTTTTCGAGTCGCTCGTACCACACGGGGTCGTTCGATCAGACAATAGGACGCCATTTTCGCGGGCGAGGGTCTCGAGGAGGATCGGGATGAAGGAACCTAGGCATCGTGTGGTGTCAGCGCAACGAGTTCGGGGCGGGGTGCACGGCAATGCTGTGGCTCCAGCATCTCGAGCTGTCCAGGCTCCACAGCTTGATCACTGTCTCGCGACGAATGTCACTGCTCGAAGACGGAGTGGCAGACTGCGATAACTCACCGATAGCTATTCTCAGTCAGCGCATGCACACACATCCAGATCCATGGGCTGGAAACTTACCACATATGACATAGGTTTCGGCAGCAAAGGCGTATGCATACCAACCAGACAGCTCCTTTTGGCTCGTGGGCCGAGTGTCTTCGCCTTTGTAACGGCCTGGGCCGTGAAGGAAACCATCACTACTGCTGCCGCTCATTCTGTCAAAGTCGGAATCTGTATCGGAACGCTCGTCATCGGCCTCGAAGTCGGAGGTGAAGGAGCGAAAAGAGCGTTTTGACAAAGTTGAAAGACGCGACCATAAGCGTGGTGCAGGTGGTGGTCGAGCGTGTTGCTCTTGTCTTGGAACCATGGCGGCTGACACGGGTAGGCCGCAGGTGTGGGCGCAGCTTTACTGGACGGGCAAGGTCGGACAGCTGACTTCTGTGCCTGTGTGGGCCTGTCACCTTGTCTCACCGGACGGATGCACTCCGGGCACAGCACGCAACCAGAACAAGGTCCAGATGGCCCAGAACTGGTCAGAGCTGGAGAAATGTCTCTTTCTCGTCTCTTCCGTCTCTTGTAACTTGCAGCTGCCTTGAGTTTAGGCTGCACTGCTGCAGAACGACCCGCGGGAACCTGCCAACCTCTGTTGAGCACTTCACTTTGGACGGGACAAAGCACCTTCACCAAGGAAGTTGACTTACCAACCAGGCAGGTAGGTAATGCAGTCAGATAATGCGACGACGGAATTCCAGCGCCAATGCGGATTGCGGGTGCACATGCGGGTGCGGTTCGGGCAAGGCACCTAGCACTGAAGCGTCGTACTCGTCGCAAGTGCTAGGCACCTCGCCAAAGTGAGAGCCGAGTTGATGACGGGCTTGGATTCGGACCCCGCTGATGCTGCAGCTCAGTCGAACCACTCGGTGATTTTCCACTTTCCTGTTACTGTTGGGCTGTGGTAGCAGCCTACCCAATCTGTTTTCCGAGGGCTCGTCAATGGAGTATTCGCTTGCGAGGGCCTGCCGATTCCGAATAAAGGATGCCGGCTGTAATGGACCCGAGAAAAGAGGCGACTTGTGAGATGCGGCTATGCGCGCTGTTCAAAAGTGACCGCTATGCGTCAGTCCGAATACGCCGTGTTTGCGAATTGCGAGGTCGGTCTTTGGTCCGCGGGGACAGCGACATGGGGCCACAGAGGATTCTATCAGTCAATACCAGGACAGATGATGGAAAGACGAGATAGAACTGGAAAAGAAAGTAGAACCAAAAACGGACGGGGAAAATGAGGCGAGGCAGGTTGATGTGTCGTCAGGTTTGCGAGATCCGGCTGTGGGCCGGCGTGGTTGGTTATATGGCGTCGCAAAAGTCGTCGAAAGCAGGCCGGGCCAGAGCAGAGAGGCAAGGACAGGGACATCCAGGGTGACAGTGTCAATCCATGGTCTCTCCCGGCCTCTGGCTCCATGTCTACGGAGTACTTGGTCGCTCTCTGCCCTTTTGCCTGTCTTCTGCGCCGCGGCTCCTTTGCCGGAGCCGTTCTAAGCTGAGCCAAGGCCACCAAAGGCCCGCCGTCCGCCGTTCACCACATCGCATCTCCCCTCTCAACCCTCCTCCGCCCAACCGCTCTCCTCCCTGTACCTCTGTAATGTGTGTAAGGGAGTGACAAAAGTCTTCTCCAAATACCCCAGTCGCGACGAAAACCGTTGCCCAATCTCGCAAGCGCTGCGACGACAAACATGGATGCATCCAACTAGATCATCGCCGATGGGACGGTGTTCCTTCCTAGCGCCGCTGCCACGCTTGAAGCATATCGCGCTATGAGGCAATGGACTCCATTTATCGTGAGAGGATGCGCGTTGAACGACATGCGTTGTGAGACGAACTAGGTTATTCATTCGTCCGATATTCCATGGCCGGCATGCGTCGATGGATATGCGCTGCATCCGCCTTTGGGATTGGGCATTGATCGTACACCACAAATTCCCCATCTCCAACCACCATGGCCATTGGCACTT